GAAGGGATTGCGGCGTGACCATCCCCCCTGGGGGGTGATTTCTCGCTTTCTGTCTCTATGTCTCTCTCTGCCTGTCTGGCAAGCGCACCCGCCCTATAGCCAAAACCTCTCCAAAAAAAAAAAAGAATTATTTACTAATTATTATTATTTTTAAAAACTAAAACAGTTTGCAATTTTATTTTTTGCTTTTCACAAAACAAATGAAACTGCACTTTTTTGTTCCACTTCTCCAAAACTACTTTTATTTTGATTTATTATTATTATTTTTTTTTTATAGGATGAGGGAGAAAGTCTTCCTTGGCACGCTGTTAGAAAATTCTGAGTTGCAGCACCATGATCTCCTGGTGAAGTAGAACAAGCGAATATAAAACTGACATAAAGAGGCCTCCCTCCACCCTTCTCTGTCTGGCCGTGTGGGCACCATCGTGGGCCGGGTGGGAGGTCTCATCACTGGGGGCCCAGCATCATGGGCATGTGGCCTCCCATGGTGGCCTCATTCCAGGAGCAGGTCCTGGCATCATCCCAGGAGTAGGCGGGCCCATCCTTGGCATCATGGGGGGGCCCCCCATATGGGGTGCTGGCATCATGCCCGGGTGAGGAGGGCCCGGGAGACTGGGGGAGGTGGGATCACTGCCCCTGCAGGAGGAGCAGAGAATGGAGTAGGAAGACTCTTCCCTTGTTGAAATGCAGCTGTTGTTTTATCAGTCGGCTCTGAGCCGCTCTCCCATCCATCTCTGATGGTAGTCTTTCACAGTCTCTTGTGTGCCCTGCCACTGCAGTGTGTTTTCTGCACGGACGGAGAACCGTGGGTGAGGTGTGTATCACAGGAGTCACGGTAAAACTTAGGCCTGGTGCTCTGCAGGCTGTTGGTCACTCTGTTTCCATTATTATTATTTTTAAACAAGCTACAGGGCACATGCGCTCAACAGAGAGAGTGAGAGAGAGATAAAGTGAGAAACTAAGCTTCCAGATCCAGGACTCGAACCACAGTCAGCCATGTGGGAGTTCAGCACCCCAACATTTTTGGTTTTGGGTTTTATTTTTTGGTTTCTTTTAGAGAGATATTTTTGCTATAGGGTGCGTGTGTAGGTCAGAGAGACAGAAAGTGAGAAATCACCCCCCAGGGGGATGGCCATGCTGCAATCCCTTCTCCTTCATTCTCTCTTGGGATTTTGGGCATGCATGCACACACACCCAGAGTGTGAGTGGGTCTGGACTGAAACCACGGCTGGCCATGTGGGAATCCAGCATAACCATTATGCCATCTGCTGGTCCCAACACCATGGTTTTAATTGGCAAGGTGAGTACCCCAGTGACAAAGGCCGTGGGGACCTGTCTCCCCATAAGAAAAATGAGGGCATTGGGTTTATGTCTAAGGTTGTCTGAAGTTCTGAGCTCTGTGGGTGGCTTGTATGTATTATGTTTTCTCAGGGTAGAGGGCTTGGGCAGGGGGTGCACAGAGAACGGCCACATGTCCTTGACACCGTGTCCTGCAGGCCACCCCACAGGAGTCACTGGGCTCTGAATGGTTTCACCCCAGGCTCCAGTATGAAGTGCCCCTTTACAGGGAACAGTTCCCCTTATGCTGCCACTCCCTGCCACCAGTGAAAAGACTGCATGAGCGACCTCTAGAGGGGAGCAAAGAAGGACCTTCACTTTCCCTAAGTAGCCAAACATCTGTGACGATTAAATCTTTTTTTTTTTTTTTTTTTGAGAGGTTTTTGCTATAGGGCACATGCGCTTGCCAGAAAGACAGAGAGACAGAAAGTGAGAAATCACCCCCAGGGGGGATGGTCACACCACAATCACTTCTCCTCCATTCTCCTCTTGGGATCCTGGGCACGCATGCACACGCACCTGGCGTGAGTTTAAGTCACCGGGTCCAGGACTCGAATTGTCGGAAGTCCAACGACAAAGCCATTACGCCAACTGCTGGTCCCGATGATTAAATCTTAAGGAGCCAAGGGACACTGTCTACAAACCAGTGATCTGCTCAGCCGCTGCTGTGTGGAAATGGCCCTCCTACATAGCATGGGGTGGACAGCCTCAAGCCTTGAGAAACGTTGAGGTGCCGAACACGTGCCACCAGGTGCATCAGTTCTTGAAATAAATTCACCCATCTCTTTGGACTAAGCATTGCAATCTTACAAAATGCAGTCCTTCTCAGGGAACAGCTCATACCACTGTGGTGATTCCCTACCTTCTTGGGCATCCCGGCCCCTGGGGAGCTTGTTAAAGGGACAGTGTCCTGCTGTGCCCTCCATACTCTGATCAGGCAGGTCTGGGCTGCAAGGCAGCTGAGGGTTTAATAGGCTCCCTGGGGATTCTGATGCAGATTTCCTAGGACTGCTTTTTGAGAAATGCTCTGCTGACATTCCTGGCTTCATCTAAGCCTGCCGGGTAATTTATTCCCCATCAGAGTGTGAATGCAGGTTTGAAGGCATGGCTGTGTGTGTGGGTGTGTGTGCTCACACACATGGATCTATACTGAGCTGTAAATGGTAAACTTTCCGGGCTAGATCTGTGCAGACAGGTGGACGGGACTCTTCTAACAAACTCTTACAGCCCTGGAAGCCAGCAAGAAAGTCTCTTCGGTTCTGGTCCTGACTTGGTACCAATTACTCTGCAGTCACTTCTCTGATCTTAGCTTTCCCACCCATAAAATAAGGGCTGTAAGTAAATTGAAGCCGTGGTGGTGTCTGAATAGGCATTACAGAGGGGTTTGAATTGTTCATTGTGATTTTGGTGAATTAGGGAACATAATGCATCCGTGTTACTACTGTCTGCATAGTGGGGTTGTAAAAGGGATACTTAGTTCTTAGGGTTAGTGAGGGAATGAAAGAAATCCACACGTAAGTGTTCGCATTAGGCATTATTTTAATATTATCTCTAAGGGCCCTTTCAGCTCTTCCAGACTGAGTCCACGCCTCTAGGGGAGGTCTGGAGCAGTAAAGTATAGTGGCAGAAGGTATCTCCTCTTCCCCCTGCCCCCTCTGCCCACACAAGCTGTGCGACCAGGTCAGGTTAATTCATCCCTCTGAACCTAGTTTGGCTCCTCTGTACAGAGGGGGCAGGCATAGTAACTACTGCATGGAGTTATTCTCAGGATTTAGTGACCCGGCTCTATAACGGTCGGGTATGGTTATGAAAACAAAAGATGGAGAGCTTTTATCCTCTGGGGCAATCAAGCCAGTTTGCATTTAGGTCCTGGGTGGGAGTGGATGTGGGGGCACCTCCGGTGCACTCGTGTCCACCCTGTCCCGTAGGTCCGGATCGCTGCCCTTATTTCCGGGCTGTGTCCACCTGACTCTCACCACCAATCCTTACTAATTCCAACCAGGACCTCGTTTTTTTTTCAAATCGCCGGGTCCGGGCTTCGAACCATAAATTCATCCATTGGGAGCCAACCACCTTAACCACAACGCCACGGGCTGGTTCTCAAAGTAATCCTCTTTTGCACCCACTCGAAATCGAAAGGAGGCCGCCAGACTGCTTCAGCCC